CATCCCCTCGCGGTCCACTGATCTGGGTTGGGGGCTGGGTCAGGGGATGCACAAGCCCGCAGGGGGTCCCAGGCACGGGTATCCCCCTCCTGTGTCCCCCAGACCCGGCAGGTGGGGAGGGTCCCAGGCCGCGGACCCGGGCGCAGTCTCAGCCCAGCCTCGCCCGCAGGAACTGCATCGGACAGTCGTTCGCCATGGCCGAGATGAAGGTGGCGCTGGCGCTCACCCTGCTGCGCTTCCGCGTCCTGCCCGACCGCGCCGAGCCGCGCAGGAAGCCGGAGCTGATCCTGCGCGCCGAGGGCGGCCTCTGGCTGCGGGTGGAGCCGCTGAGTGCAGGCGCGCAGTGACCACCGCGGCCGGCCTGGGCCCCACCTGAGCCCACGCATCCAGCTTTGCACAATCCCAGGAATAAACTGTGCTCTCTCCTCTGCCTGAGCCTTGCGAGGAGCCAGCAGGGGGCGCTGCAGGGACCCAGGCGTTGGACCTGGGTGAGGCTCGGGTCTCTCTGGCTGGGTACAGGCCCCTCACTCCCCATGCTGATGGCGGGCTCTTCCCGAGCCCTGGTATGAACTTTGCCCCGCAGGCGCTAGGGAGCCAGGGGAGGTGTTGGAGCAGGAGAGGGACCAGCGTTCAGAATGAGCATAGGGGATACTGGCGGCTCCCAGTCCCGGAAGCAGACTCGCCGTAGCGCTGCCTGCCAATCATCCTAACCCTGAGTCTTTCCCGCTGGAAGGTGCGTCTCAGTGTTGCTATGGTTACTAAATAAACAGACCGCGTGTGGTCGCTGCAGAATCCGTGTCTGTTTCACGGCCTGTGATTTCTGCCCACCGTTCACCTGGGACTGGGGATGGAGTCCTGCTTCTGGGACATCCGATGGCTCACCCTGAGCTTATTTTGGCTTCTGATGGGGTGGTGAGGAGGGGCGGCTCCTATCCACAGCCCCTCTCTCCTCTCCTCTCCTCGCCTCCCCCCCGTTTCTGCTCCAAGGTCACCTCTTGGGCAGTCCCTCCCTGACCACCAAGTCCACAAGTCCACACATCTCACCCTGTGAATTTCTTTCATGACCGCCACCATCAGACTTGCTCTTTTTTTTTTTTTTTGACAGGCAGAGTGGACAGTGAGAGAGAGAGAGACAGAGAGAAAGGTCTTCCTTTTGCCATTGGTTCACCCTCCAATGGCCACCACGGCTGGTGCACTGCGGCCGGCGCACCGCGCTGATCCGATGGCAGGAGCCAGGTGCTTTTTCCTGGTCTCCCACGTGGGTGCAGGAGCCCAAGCACTCGGGCCATCCCAGGCCACAGCAGAGAGCTAACAGGAAGAGGAGCCACCGTGACTAGAACCCGCCGCCCATATGGGATGCCGGCGCCGCAGGCGGAGCATTAACCAGTGAGCCACGGCGCCGGCCCCCTCCCTCCCCATCTTACCGATGAGTACTGAGGTTCAGAGAGGGCGTCTTGTCCCAGGCCTCCCAGCCAACCCGAGACTTGAATCCAGCACAGCTGCGTGCGCTGCTCGCTCCTTCTCGATGGCTGGGGAAGGGGAAAGTGAAACTGCGGCAGGTGCACAGCCTGCTTGCCTGTCCCAGTGCAGCTGATTCCTGGGAGGTGTGTCTTCTCAGGCACACAACGCAAGAACAGCGCCCTCGTGTGGTGCACTACTGCGTGGCTCACTATACCGGATCCCTATATCTTGTTAAAATTTGGTTTGCATTAAGGGGATAAGCAGCTCAGTGTGAAAAACTCAACCCAAAGAGATGTATGGGTTGTGAATAGCGTCTTTCCTCCAAAAAACTGCCCGTTTCCTTTCATGCTCACAGACACAAATGCCTCTCTGTGTATGATTTAGGAGGGCACTCCAAACATTCACAGAGTGGAATAAAACAAAAAATTCTCCTTGTGCCCAAAGCATTTTGAAATCTGTGCATCGGTTTCTGCAGTATACACAGTCCATGGAGTATGAAGAATTGTTTTGCAGCCCCAACAGTTTGCACCGATATCAACATGTACCTTGGATCAGAGCCCTCAGCCTGAGGAAGCCTCTCTCCTTTGTCCTTTCCCACACAGTGCTGTGTTATCAGCGACAGGAAATGGGCTGAGATGGCTGAGTGTTGTGCATGAGTGACCAATCCTCCTGCTCTAAGCTGCTTGTCCATCCCAGGCACACAGTAGGTCCACAGGAAGTTCAGCTCTTTCTTCTGTGTCTCCACTGCCTGGTGTATCAAACTGTGCCCTGTATCTTGACACTGTGGGTGGACGGCCCTGCCAACAGGTGGATTCAGTCCCCCCTGAGGGCTCTTGGATCTGCTGCCTGATTCCCATTGGCTAGTTGGGCTGCAGGTGGTAGTGGGAGCAGGGGGAGTCTTGGGGTCTCCTGCACACCTGATCTGTGTCAGGAGTGCTGTCTTTCCCCACCCTTCTTGTTCAGCAGCTCTGCCGGGACCCCCATCTTCCAAGACATCCCTCACCTGAGGCCACCCACAGTCATATCCGGAAAGACTCTGGGGAGCATGGGATATGCTGGGTGGGGGCATCCTGGGTGTGAGAGGATGATCCCGGTGCTGACACAAGGGCCTCAAGAGGTCTCCTCCCGGGCCACCCCGTTGCCTGGGGATCCCACATCATCCAGGACCCTGGATTATGAAGCCATGGTCCCCAGCGAGTGGGACAGAGCAGTGAGGCAAGTGCTGGCCTGAGCATCGGAAAGCCTGGGTTGCTGTGAACTCTGTAGCACGTGTTGGAGGTTCACCCCTTCTGAATCTCAGCTCACTGCTCTGTTCCGTGACTTCCTTCATCTTCTGGGTGACATCACTTGAGTTCTCTCTCTCTCGGTAGGAGTTCAGCTTTTGATCGAACAAGAAAATAGTCAAACAGACTGAAACCCATGTCACCATGAGGCTCCCAAGATTCTCCTTTCTTCTTCTCCTCGTTGGGGACAGTGGAGGTGGAGGGGCAGGGCGTCCTGCTGAGGTGGCATCAGCTTCTGCAGCAGGTGCACCCGCTGCTACACTGTGTATGAGGCTCCTGCTGTTGACATTGGCCAGGGCCCTTGTGAACAAACTGGGCCCAAAGGCCTTGACATTTACATTAATGAGGGCATTGATTTTTGTCCTCTGTGACGGTCACCTCATTGTCGTGCAGGGTGAGGGCGGAGCGCGGTTGCGCTGGCCAGGTATGGTGCCAGGTGCCGCTGGATGAAGTGAAGGCCTCACCCCACCGCGGCCTCAGCTTCCTCGGAAGAACTGAGCGCTTGGCGGCAGCTGGAGAAAGCTCGCCTGAGTCCCTGGAGCTGATCCTTAGGGCTCTGGCCAGAGAGCTGAGAGGAGGCAGACGGGAATCCTTGGGCCATATGATGTGGGTGACCACCTGACCCAGAGTAGGCTCATTTTATGGACATTACCTGGCACATAGAAGGTGCACTTTACATATTGTGCTGGGCACACAGTTAGACATTTTATATCTAGCAATGTACACACAGTAGGTGATTTTTATGTAGTGTACCCTGTACAGAGTAGGCAGACTTTATGTAGAGTGTCAGGCACTCAGAATACAGGGTTTATGTAGAACACCTGCACATGCTACATAGGATTTATATAGAGTGCCTAGCGCACAGTAGGTGTGTTCCACTTTATGGAAACTACATGATACATGGTAGGCATGATTAATGTGGAAGCACTGGATTAATACATCCAGGCACATAGGATACAGGCTTTATGGAGGGTACCCAGCACACAGTAGGCCCGCTTTATGGCACCTAGCCAGCACACAGTAGGTTCACTTTATAGATAGCACTCAGCACTCAGGCACACTAGATGAAGAGGCAGCACACAGTAGGTTCACATTATGTAGAGCCTTCAGCACACAGTAGGCCCACTCTATGGCACGAATGCAGTGACAGGACGTCCCCTGCAGTCTGTTGCACAGAGTAGGGACCTGGCACACGGCACACAGCTCACGGAGCGGGGCAGCCCCTCCCCCACTCTCCCCCTGTTTGGAGCCCCCTCCTCCATGGAGCCCTCCTCTGTCCCCCTCTAAGGCTGTCATCCAACATCTCATTTCCCAGATAAGAAGACTGAGTCAGGAGGGCTTGCCCATGGTCAGAGCAAGAATGGGGCAGAAGGAAGACTCCACTCAGGCTCCCCTGCCTCCTCCCTGCTCTACCTGGACCCCCCATGTGCTCAGCCACACTCAGCCTTGCCCGCTCCCCACCAAGCCCCTGAGGCTGAGCCAGCCTCCAGTGATCTACCCCCAGATAACCCCAGTGAGACTGGATTCTGGGTTCCTGCTCCTGGCAGCCGCGGCTCACCCTGGGGCCATGTATGCCTGGAGGCTGCCCTTGCACTTCTGCCTGGCTGTGAGCTGGGAGGCCAGGAATTCGCTGTTCACCCCTGAGCCTCCTAGCCGTGCTCTGATCACAGGACCCAATGTGCTCCTGGCCCATGATTGCGCAGACCCCCGGGGAGATGATCTGAGATAAGGTCCTACCCAGCCATGTCCCCTGGCGCTTGCACTCTCTCCAGTTCATTCTTTTCCCACTTCCCCTTGACCTGGACAGGAAGGCTTATATGTTATCTTGTCCCCCAGAGTTACCTTGGCCCCTGGTCTGAACAGAAGGTGTCACGAGGATCCATTGCCCAGGGTCTGTGACCCTGACCTGATTCCTCTGCCTCCAGCTGCTGCTGTCCCTGCATCTTGACCACCTCCTGCGGTGGGTGGGGGCAGCCAGACCTGCGGGGATTGGCGGCTCCAGCCCAGCCCAGCCAGCCCAGCCCAGCCTGGTCCTACATCCTACCCCAGAGTGAGGGCTTGGGTCAAACCTCCCAGGAGGTGGCAGAGGAGGTTGCTGGGGACAAGACGCTCCTAGCAGAAGGTGTCAGGCTGGGGGCGGGGTGGCAGGACTGGAGGGTCCTGGACCTGGATGGGGAGAGACTGCCTAAGCCTGGGGCAGCTCCGGGAGCCAGCTGGGCAGGGGATGGGAGGTTATGGGTAACTGGAGAGCACCTGCTGGGTATTGCAGGCAGGTCTTTCTGAGCTTCAGTCCCCTCTGAGCCCTCCCTGCCCTGGCCCCCACACTCTTACCCCTTGCCCCCTCTCCATTGTACCTGTGTTCCCTCGGGGCTGCAGACTCACCTTCCATCCCACCTGCCCTGTAGGATGCTGCAGCTGAGCCTGTCCTGGCTGGGAAGGAGCTTGGGGGCCACCTCCCCGTGGCTGCTCCTGCTGCTCATCGGTGCCTCGGGGCTCCTGGTCTGCATCCTACCACAGGCCTGCGCTTTCTACAACAAGTGTCGCCGGCTCCGAAGTTTCCCACAGCCTCCGAAACAGAACTGGTTGTTCGGTCATCTGGGGCTGGTGAGTGTGGCTGCCGACAGAGGGTGGGGGTCCGGGCGAAGGGACTCCCTGAGTGTTGCGATCAGTGGGGCTCAGGGAGGCAGATTCAGGAGAAGTCTGGGGACTGGGGCAGCAGGGGAGTGAGTGAGGCCACTCAACCACTCCACATCTTTCCCACGTCCTTGTCCTCTCCCACTAATCTGCTAGGGTCCCTTTCCTGCCACCTTCTCCCCCTTACTGCTCCTCTAGGGGTCTCCCAGGATAGACCGTGTAGAGTGGAGGCCCCTGGCCTTCCTCCTTTCTCCACTGCAGGATTTGGAGTCCCCTGAGGGGTGTACCTTAGATCTGTTCCCCATCTGGCCCATTTCCTGGTGACTGCCCTGTGTCTGGCTGCTGAGGTCCCCCCATGTCCACACACACGGGGCACAGCTAGACCAGGGCAGAGGTGTGGGCATCTATCAGTGCCTCCCCTCCCTGGCCACTTCCTGTCACCTCGCTTTTCCTCTCCAAGATGCCCCATGGGGCCCTTTGGTCACCTGCATGAACACTGGCCACTGACTTCCCCTTTAAGAATCCCTGGTCCCTCTTTGGGCTCAGACCTGCTCTCTCGTTTGGGGAAAGTGGCTTCAGTTGCCTCACTTGTACAGGGCATGATGGATGAGTGTGTGCAGAGGTTCAATGAGAGGAAGCATGGATGCACTCAGCAACAGAACCCGGGGACCAGCAGGTGCCCACAGTTAGGCACCTCATTTCTCAGAGACGGTCAGGGTTCACCTGTGCTCCCTGGGATCTGCCCAGGCTGGAAGGTCCCTGGCCATGCAGCTTCTCCTCCATGAAGGAGAACCAGACAGGACCTGAAAGGATACAGGTGTAGACTTGAAACAAAACCTGAGGTCACAAAACTTGTTTCTATAAGACCGTGCCTTTGTGTCTGCTCTTGAGCTGATACTATTCTCAGGTGGTGAAAAATCTGCGCTCTTGAGCCAAGGTGGGCTTCTGTGTGGACAGTGAATCTACACCCTCTGCCCTGGCATGCACCCTTTGGACTTAGAGCTGGCCCCAAGAGGGAAGGGACAAACCGAAGCAGCCATCCCCTCTCATCACACAGAATCTATATGTGCTGTGCAGAGCAGAGGCTGAGCCTCCTCTGGATCCTATAGAGGACCTCGCATTAATGACCCTCCCTTCTGGAGGGGCTTCTCCAAAGAGCGCCACAGCACAGATGGATACGGATCTGTGGTGTCCACTGTGGGGGTCATTCCAGAGCTCAATCCTAGATAAAAATGGCAGTGTTTGCATAGAAGCTACACAATCCTCTCATCTGCTTCAAGCAATTCTTACATGAGTCGTAGTATCTAATACAATGTATGAGCCATGTGAATAGTTGTTGCACTGTGTTGTTCAGAATATATTGACGGGACACAAGTGCTGTATATACCCTGTACAGATACCATTCATATTTTGAATGTTTTGCTCCCCAGCTTAGTCTCTGAAGCATCCATCCATCATCTATGAATCCATCTCTTCATCTATCCTCCTACCCATCTCTCCATCCACCCATCTATGCATTCATTCATCATTCTATTTTTCTGTCTTATCCATCATCTACTTGTATACTCTATCCATCCACCTATTTATATAGCCATCTACCTACCTACCTATCCATCCATCCATCCACCTACCCATCCATCCATCCTTCTGTTTATTTTTGTATATATCCTACTATCCATACATCCATTCATCTTTCTCTCTTGCTCTCCATCTACTCACATGTCAGTCTATTACTCTTTCTATTATCTACCTATCATCTGTCTACATTCATCACATCATCATATTTCTATATACACCTGTCTATCTAGCTAGTGACTCCATTCAACCACTTGTCCATCCATCATCCTATCAATTTATCTTTTATAAATTTAAGTTTCTATGCATCCCATCTATTTTCCCATTCATCATTCTGTGTATGTATATATGCATGTATCTGTTTATACATCCATCCATCCACCATCCTATCTATAGACTCTATCATCTATTTAGCTGTCCATCTATCATCTACCCATTCATTCATCTTTCTATATATCCAGCTATCTACACACCCATTCATCATTGTAACATTGTGTCTGCCTATTTATGTATCCTCCCAACTGTGCATCAGTTTATCAGTTCTGTCTCTCTCCATCCCTCTACTCACATATCCATTCATCCATAATTCTATCATCTATCAATCATATTTCTTCCTTGTCTTCTTTGTCATCATTATCTATCTATCTATCTATCTATGCTTCATTAACCTATTTATCCATCCAGCCATCATTCTGGGATAGATGCTGGTTTAATCCAAGCCCCAAACCTGGAGATCTGATGTCCCAGGGCGGAAGATGAGGGTCTCAGCTCCTGGACGGAGCTGGATCTGCCCCCCCTGCCTTTTTGCTCTCCCTGGGTCTTTGTGGATTGGAAGGTGCCCACCTTCACTGGGGACAGTGGCTGTTCCTGACTAAAGCTATACACTCACAGGCTGATCTCTTCTGGACACACACACAGGAATCACAGTACAGCCAGAGATCATGTCTTAGGGGCTCCTGGGCAGCCCTTAGCCCAGTGACAGGGACACTTGAAGTCAACCCCCCACCAGGAGTTGACCACCCCTGCCTTGCTTGCAGATCACCCTCACAGAGGAGGGCCTGAGGATCCTGACCCAGCTGGTGGCCACCTTCCCCCAGGGCTTTGTTTACTGGATGGGCCCCATCATCCCTAGCATCGTGTTGTGCCACCCTGACACCATCCGGCCTATCCTGAATGCCTCAGGTACCCAGGTGGAGCATGTGGTGGTGGGCGTCATGGTGCATCCAACACCTTCCAGCCCCTCCAGACCCCCGAGCTGCTGTGCAGCCCCTGCGTTTTGCTGGCCTGCATCCCTCTTCTCTCCCAGCCATTTTCCTCTTTATTTCATGCAATCACCCACCTCCAACCCTGGTCTCTTCTCTCCACTGCTATCTGACCCCTGTCCTGAGTTCAGGGCACCTCTGGGGCTCCAAAAAGTCTCAATCCAAAACCCAACTCTGGAGGAAGCCCCTTCTCTCTGAGATGAATGTGAAAAGAGACATCCCCAATCTCCTTTGTCCAGAGGAAGCTGGACTTTGGCAGCTCATAGAAGAAGCAAGCTTTCTACTGGGGCAGTTGGAAAGCTTCATGGAGGAGGAGTTGCAGAAGCTGGGTCTGGAATAATGGGTGGTTTTTTTTAGTAGAATGCAGGTTTGTGCAACAGACATCAGTAGCATATGATGGGATCAACCTTGCCGGTGCCCAGACCCAGAAAAAGAGGAGGGCTTGAGGCTGGTGGAGGCTCTGGGCTGCTATTTCTGTGATAGCCACCTCTGGTGGGTCAGAGCACACATCTACTGTGTGTTCATTGTCTACCTGCTCCAGATCCCAGGAATCTCCCCTAGGGGACTCCATGTCACCCCAGCACTGTCCCCTTACCCTCTATCCTCTCCACTCCTGCATACATTGATCAGGGAACTGGGCAATGTGAGGCAATTCTTCCTTTCCTCTTCCTGTTCTCGGTTCCCTTGCTGCTATGTTGGCTTCGTAGGGGGGAAGTGCAGACCTCAGGCTGGGAGCACCCATCCCCACCCAGAATCCCTTCCTTGCCTTCTCATGGCCCCTAATGGTGCTTGTCCCCAACAGCTGCCATTGCACCCAAGGATATTGTCTTCTACAGCTTCCTAAAACCATGGCTGGGTGAGTCACTGAAGGTGGGAGGCGGGGTTCAGGCCAAGAGGGAAAGGTGTTGACTTTGCTGTCTACCCACGGCTGCCCTCCTAGGGGATGGGCTTGTGGTGAGTGCTGGTGACAAGTGGAGCAGACATCGCCGCATGCTGGCACCCACCTTCCATTTCAACATCCTGAAACCCTATGTGAAGATATTCAACAATGCTACAAACATCATGCTTGTAAGTGCCTTCAGCCTAGGGTGCCAGGTGGAATCTTGGGGGGAATGAAGGCTCCGGAGCCATCATTCTCTGTTCCTTAGCCTCGCTTTGCTCATCTCTATTCCCTGTTCAATCTTCCCCTTCTGTGCACACTGGGAGGTCACTGAAGTCCTAGTGACCCACCGCCCCAGGTGTGGGAGACCTGGGCTGGGTTTCCAGTTCCATGATTCAGCCTGAGAGCATTTGGAAAGTGAAACAGTGGATGAGTCTCTGTCTCTCTGTACATCCTTGCTTCTCAAACAAGTCAATGAAGCTTTACGATCATTATGGAAAATATGGGCATGAAGAGGTCCTGGAATCATGTCCCTGGCACACAACAGGTGCACAGAGGGCAACTGTTTCCACCCTGCTTTCACAGTGGCTGGTACTGAGTCATGAGCTATTCAAAACTTCCTGGTTTAAAGCAACATGTATTTTTGATTGATGCCAAGTCATGTGGCTGGTTCTTCTAGCATGGATGGGATCACTCGTGGTTCCTCATAAGTTCTGGGTCAGGAGGCAGCTTTACTGACCCTGGCTCCATTATCTCTCCTGATTGTGGCTTGGCTGGCTTTAGGCTGATCTAGGCCAGGACGTCTGGGGCTCAGGCCCAAGTCAGCCCCTGTGGAAGGACATCCTGTGCTTGTTTGCATTGTAAGAGACAAGATTTCCAAGGAGCGTGAGGAGGCTTTGGTTTATTGGAGTCGTTATTTCATCATTTCCACCACATTTTGTCAGCCAAAGAAAGTAACAATCCAGCACACTTTCCAAGTGGACAATGTATTCTTCAGCCCTTCATAGAAGCTGCAGCGAAATCACATGGGAAAGATGTGGCTATAGGGAGAAGGGGACTTGGGGGTAAGGGTTTTGTAAAGTGCCTACGATTTTTAAAATTTTTGTTACACAGAAGCTGATAACTTACTGTTTCATGGCTTGTGCCGGAAGACAAGAGCCTCCCAGCTCAGAGAGAAATGGAAGGTTGCTATTCACGGCATAGCTAGCAGTGTGTGTTTCTCGTGGCTGGCAACTTTCTCCAAGCCATTCAAAATGTATTTGGGTAGCGCAAGTGGGATTCAACGGCTGCCTGATCACATGGTGTAGTGCATTATAGAATTAGGCTTAGGCAATCCATTTTTATGGCAAGTAGAAAAAAGTCCGATTTGTTCCAAGGGAGTTATTACCTGGTTCCTGGGGAGTCCGCACCGGTGGTAGATATTGGGATGGGGGGTTTGGTGAACCAGAGGGTAGCCCCAACCCTGTCCTATTGTCTGCTCAGGCCAAGTGGCAGCGCCTGACCTCAGAGGGCAGTGCCCGTCTGGAAATGTATGAGGACATCAGCCTCATGACCCTGGACAGTCTGCAGAAATGCATCTTTAGCTTCGACAGCAATTGTCAAGAGTGAGTCCTTGTCCAGGGCCTGGGATCTTGTATCATGGGCTCAAGGGAGGAGGTGGGGGAAAGAAGACTGACCAGCAACCAGGACAGCCTTCCTGGAGGAGGTGGGTGAGGTGTGGGTGTTGGAGGACAGGGAAAGGGAGAGAGAAAGGTGGTCCTTTCAGGGGTAGAATTGGATGAGTGAGGGCAGGGAGGCCAGCATGAGCACAGTCAGCGCAGGCGGTGAGGAGACACCTGGGAATGGTGGTTGGAGGGGTAGGCATGGCTAGATCTTAACAAGGGTGTGAGGTTTATCCCGAGGTTTCCCAGGAACCCTAGCAGAGCTTGAGAAGACAATGGGCTTGGTCAGAGATGATCTCTGTGAACTGACCATCAAGTAGACGCTCAATGGAATTGACATGGGAGGCAATGAATGAGGCACAGCTGGGGCCAGGCCACGGACTGCTTGGAAGAGGATGAGGTCTCTACTGTGTGGATGGTTTCAGGAAGTAGAAGAGGCAGGACCAGGCACCGGGCAGGAGAGAAAGAAGAGGAACATGATGTTCAGTCTGGGCTCTGGGGGCACAGATGCAGAACACAGGCGAGGAGAGACACTGGAGAGACAAGTCTCGTGCTTATCCCTGCCACGTCTGTTAGTGGGGGCTAACTCTGGACCCTCAGTCTCCCGACGGGAGGCAGCTGCTGGCTGCTGGGGGCTGACATTGCACAGGCTTCAGGTGTGCTCACTTGTTGCCTCTCTTTATGACCTCATGCTGCAGGAAGCCCAGTGATTACATCACCGCCAACGTGGAGCTCACTTACCTTTTTGCCAGAAGGCAACAGAATTTCCTGCTGTACCCGGACATCCTGTACTACCTCACCCCCGACGGGCAACGCTTCCGCAGGGCCTGCCGCGTGGTGCATGCTTTCACAGAGGCTGTCATCCAGGAGCGGCGGCGCACGCTCCTTAGTCAGGGGATCGACGACATCCTCAAGGCCAAGGCCAAGACCAAGACGTTGGACTTCATCGATGTGCTTCTGCTGACCAAGGTGGGCGTCCCAAGGATCTCAGTTCAAGAGGTAGCATAAGGTCAAGATTCAGATGGGAGAACTTGGACTTGGTCTAGGTGGCATTGGACCATATCAGAGGAAGTGAGGGAGCTGCCATCAGTAGATCTCAGAGGTGATTCTGGAATGCAGGCATCAGGGCTGCTAAGTTGGAAATTAGGAAGGGACGACAGTATTCCTCTATTGGCAGGTTCAGCGGTCTGCCATGGTTTATATCCATATCTGTCCCCTCCCTCCACTGAGAGATGCACCAAAACCCTCCAGCAGAGCATCCCATTTCTTGCTCACAGCAGCCACAGCAGCCAGAGTAGGATGGTTGCACAGGCTGCCCATTCCCAGATTACCCTAGGACCATGAAATGCTTTTATCTGTATGTGCAGTGGGTTATGCACAACAGGAGGTGAGACCCCACATTATCAGTCTTGGATGGCAGCTCTGTCCCCCTTATTTCTTTTGTAAGTTGGAGAGAGAGGGAGAGAGAGGGAGAGAGGGAGAGGGAGACAGAGGGAGAGAGAGAGAGAGAGAGAGGGAGAGAGAGAGAGGTTTTGTCTAGTAGAATAAACAAATCCTATCCAGTGCAAAGGCATCCATAGATTTCCAGACAAAATAACTTCAGGCGAGATAAGATAAGGCTCTCTGGATCTGCCACTCTGGAACATGAGCCAGCCTCCTTGCAGCAATACTTAATCTCTGACTTTCAAGGCAAGCTGCCATCCAGTGCTGCTATGATGCAGGTTGCAGGAACTTGACAATACTCACGGATCACTGATTCTTCCCACCAAGGACAAAACAGGAGCCAAGGAGGCCCAGGCCGAGGCCTGAGGGGTGGGAGTCCTAGAGGCCTAGGGGTGCACAGTGGCTTGGTCACTGGGTGAATGGTGGGGGTTTAAGGATTCTCTCAGGTTAGACTCAGGAGCCCTCGGAGCTGGTGTGATGTGGTCATCTTGTGCTGTCTCCAGGATGAAGATGGAAAGCGCTTGTCAGACGAGGACATACGGGCGGAGGCTGACAGCTTCATGTTTGCAGGTGAGGGTCCTGGGGTGGCCTGCAGTGGGGGCAGGTGTCTCTGCATCCCAGGGATGGGCTGAGTGGGCCCTGGGTCATTCCATGCACCCACCTGAATTCCCCACTGAGGGCCTCCATGTGTGGGCTCTGTCCACGCTCTGGTGCTGAAGCAGCCCAGAGGCCCAATAGTGCCTGGCTGCCCCTCAGGCCATGACAGCACGGCCAGTAGCCTCACCTGGATCCTGTACAACCTCGCAAAGCACCCAGAATACCAAGAGCGCTGCCGAAAGGAGGCGCGAGAACTCTTGAGAGACCGTGGAGATGAAGAGATTGAGTGGTGAGTGTGAGTCTTGCTGGTCTGTTCCAGTGTCCTCTCCCTCCCCCATGTGGGGAAAGGGGAAGAGGTTTTGTGGCAGATAATGAAGTCCCTTCACTAAAGCTTCAATGCCCATGAAAAAGTTCCAGTGAATTCCCTTGTGGTTTCCAAGTATAAAATTCCTATCTGCTGAATCAATACATTTACCTCCTTAGAACAAATTTCTATATACTCCTCCGTTCCCTTGTGTGATTGCATTCGTTAATATCTCCTGTTCAATGCCACAAGCTAGACAAACATTAGATGTGTTTATTCTCTTCCTTCTTCCTTTGCATTTTGGTTTAGCTCTTTCACTATACAGAGTATTTGTATGCAAGTTTTGGAGATCATTCTTTATGTCAATGAGTTACAGCTTTGATTGACTGGTTTAAAGTTTCATTTCATACATAACTCAGAATTTGTCACTGACACACAATTGTAGGTATCAATGGGGTATCAGACCAAAGTCACTGGCTGAGCCAACTGCTTCAGACACTCAGCATTTCTTTGGGTTTTGTGTCTGGCTTTTGGATGTTTTGTTCTTTTCAAAAATAGCTTCTAAAAATATCTGGCTGAATTTTCCCTGGTATTTTTTCTCATCTTCCCCCCTGTTTTCTGAGCTCACATAATTGAGCCCTCTAAAGTTGGTTACATTGAGAAAAGTGGATACCAGGTGGGCCGTGGGCTCTGTGCTGCTCCCTGGACAATGTCTGTGTCTTCCTCAGGGACGACCTGGCCCAGCTGCCCTTCCTCACCATGTGCATCAAGGAGAGCCTGCGGCTGCACCCCCCACTGTTGGGCATCTCCCGCAGCTGCACCCAAGATATGACGCTCCCCGACGGCCGGGTCATCCCCAAAGGTGCCCGCACACCAGTAGGGGGCGCCTCCGGGGCAGGGCAGGAAGGGAGTCCACCCGGCGCAGGGGCCTTGTCCTCACTGCCCTGTCCCCTCTCCCACAGGTGTCATCTGCTTTATCAATATTTTCGGGACCCATCACAACCCAGCTGTGTGGCCGGACCCCGAGGTGCCCTCCCCACCTCCACCCTTGCCCATACCCGGGGTCTCAGAGGGAGGAGGGGGCAGGGTATGGGTCAGTGAATCAGACACCAGCTTCCCCCACCACGCACGCACACACGCCTGTGTCTCCAGGCCCGGCTGTGCTGGGAGACCCCGCCCAGCATCCCTGTCCCTTCCTGGCCTCCAGGTCTATGACCCCTTCCGCTTCGAGCCAGAGAAGGTCAAGGACAGGTCGCCGCTTGCGTTCATCCCTTTCTCAGCCGGGCCCAGGTGAGGGCGGTGGGTGTCCACGCAGTGCTGAGTGACGGGGCGGGGTCTGGGCGTGAGAGTGGGGAGGAAGTGAGGAGGGGGCGTTGCTGAGGCCTTAGTCTGGGTGTCCTTCCCTCCCCTAAGCTGGAGGTCGGGGCAAAGGCCTGGAGCCCAAAGCCTGGCCCAAGAGGGGTTCAAGCGCAGGCAGAGCCCCTCCCCCATTCTGTGCTGGGGCCGGAGTCTGGGCCAGGATGGGGGATACAGAAACCTACAGGAGGCCCCAGACAAGGGGACCCCCGACTCTGCCCCACGGGCTCCTCAGGGTGTGGGTGGAGCTGTCGGGTCAAGTTCCCAGATGAGGATCCTGTGCTCAGTCAGCTACCCCTCTGGATCTGCTAGTCTGAGTAGGGGGCTGAGTTAGTCAATGTGCAAGCTCAGAGTGGGGTCCCAGGCAGGGCAGCCCCCTCCTCTGAGCCTCAGGAGCATGAGGATGAAGTTCGGGTCCCGGGCTGGGGTCCCAGGGTGCAATGTGAAGGCCGTCCCGCCCATAGGAACTGCATCGGGCAGACGTTCGCCATGATCGAGATGAAGGTGGCGCTGGTTCTCCTGCTACTGCACTTCCGCTTCCTGCCCGACAGCACCGAGACGCGCAGGAAGCCGGATTTGGGTATGCGCGCCGAGGGCGGCCTGTGGCTGTGGGTGGAGCCGCTGAGCTCGAGCCGGCAGTGACCACTGCGCCCGGGTCTGGGCCTCACCTGAACCCACGCATCCACCTTTGCACAACCCACAAACCAGGAATAAACTGCTGTCTCCTCTGCCTGTGCTTTGCTAGGGATCCAGAAGGGGGCGCTGCGGAGCTACAGGGACCCAGGATGGGCGTGGAGGGTGCAGGGTGGGCTGGTGTATGTCTCTGGCTGGGGACAGGGCCCCCATACCGGCAGTGGGCTCTTCTCCAGCGAAGCGTGGACCACATCCCACGACAGGAAACAGGAAAGGGACTGGAGTTAAGGACAGACCCATATAGGGTCGTGCTGGACCCCTAGGAGTGCCCCCAAGGCAGAGGTCCTTGGCCTGCCCACCGCCCAGGGCAGGAAGTGCCTGCAGCTTCCACCCCGGGAGCCTCGGGGATTCTAGTTGCGTCCCTGCTCTTGCCAGCATGTGTGTCCCTGGCCACTGCTCCGGTCTGGACCCCCAACCCTTTTTTGGCCTCCCTGATGCTGCCCGGGCTGCCTGGCTGACAGATACTGGCTGAAGCCCCAGGGTGCGCCACGGTGGGCTCCTCCTTCCCCCATTTCACTCCCAGCCTCCTCCTTCCCTCTCATCCCAGGTGCCCATCTTGGGGCGGGTCGGGGCAGGGGGCCGTAGCCTTGGACTCTTGAGATTCAAAGCCAGACCACTGGAGACCAAAAATCACCCCCATGGGTTTGGGGCCTGGGCCCCGGGCTTGATGCTACAGCGAGACTTGGAGAAGTTAATCCTCCCTGCCTCCATCTCCCCAGTGGTCGAATGGGCACGACAGCCACACCTGTTGCCCTAGGGTTGTCCCTGGGGCTCCGTGTGAGGGACTGAGCACGGCGCTTGGTGCATGGAAAGTGCCCCGTAAAGGAGGCCACTGCTCCGTCCTCTCTCAGGAAGCCTGGCTCCTGCAGACCCAAGTCCTCTTTCAAGACTGTTGTCTCTGTGCCCTGGAACTCAAGGGCAAACGTGTACCCTGGGTGTTGGTTGAACCAGTCCTTGCCCCACCGGGCAGTGTGTGTAGAGGGCTTGTTTCTGAGAGTGCTGGGGGCACCTGGAGCGGCGCGGAGGTGGGAGAATAGGGACAGCTCAGTTCTTTTCTCAGAATATTATCCTGCTACCGATGTCATCTCTGCACCTTGATCCCTGCCAGCTCTCACTCCGCCTTCCCCAGCAGATGCCCCCTCCCTCTGCACTTGGCCCCGCCTGGATGCTGCGTTCCTTTTTTTAAAATATTTACTTAATGATTTATTTGCAATGTGCGTGTGCACACACACACACACACACACACCTTCCACCTCCTGGTTCACTCTCTGAATAGCCACAATGGCCAGAGCTGGGCCAGGAGCCAGGGGCTTCATCTGCATCTCCCACATAGGTCACAGGAGCTCAAGCACTTGGGAGCATCTTCTGCTGCTTTCCCAGGCACGTTAGCAGGGAGCAGGATTGAAGTGGCACTGCCGGGACTTGAACTGGCGCCCTTATGGGATGCCGGTGTTGCAGGTGGTGGCTTACCCAGCCATGCCACAGCGCCAGCCCCCTGGATTCTGATTTCCTAGTATCTCAGTCTTTCCCAGTCCCATGTTCCCTCTTTGGAGCTGAGAGTCTCACCCTTCATCACAGTCCAAAAGAAAAAGCTGGCAAGATGTTCCTGAGACTGGAGAGGCCGATGTTCAAGTGGATCTGGGAGACAAGCCAGTTACAAGCGTGCAGTGAGACCGCTATGGTCACCGTGGAGTTGACCTTGGAGTTGCAGTTTTGTAGGTGGAGGGTGAGTTAGTGTTCACAGATCACTTAGCGGTGTCCTAATTCCTGTGCGTGTGTGTGTGTTCTCACTGCATTAACTTTCAAAATTAACGAACAAACTTTGTTTTGAGAGCAGCGGTTCTGGGTTCACAGCAAGTTAAGCAGAAAGTAAGGTGGGTTCTGTGTACCTCTGTTCCTCCTACACACACGCCAGGGCGCTATGAACACCCATAGCCAGAGTGCTACACTCAGCGCAGTGAATGAACCTTCACAGACACATGTTTCCTCCCACGTCTACCCCAGGGGGCACTCTTGGCCTTAAATACCCTGTAGATTGGACACAAGTATAACGACGCGTATCCACATGTACCGTGTCGCACAGAAACCTCACAGCCCTAATAATCCTCTGAGTGCCACCATCCATCACTCCCTCCCTCTACCTCCTGCCAACCGCTGATCTCCATGCTGTTTCCATAGCTCTGCTTTTCCTAGTCCACCAGACAGCTGGAAGCACACAGAGGGAGCCCTCCCAGATTGGCTGCCTTCACTCACTAATATGCATCTAGGTCCTCCCCCTCTTTTCATGGCTCCATAGCTCTTGTTTTAAAAATGCTGAAGAATCTTCTATGGGATGCATGCATTAGAGTTTAACTCTCTGTCCACCTACTGGTTTCTTCCAAGTTCCAGAAACTGTGGCTGAAGCTGCTATAAACTGTGTGCTGCTATCAGCATTGTGAGGATATAAGTTGTCAGCTCTTATGGGGAAACACTGAAGGGCCTGACCTTAGGATTATTGTATGTATGATGAGAGGATGTTTAGTTTTGTAACAGTTGCTACAATGTCTCCCAAAGTAACTGTGGCATTTTGCATTCTCCTTAGCAATGAGTCGGAGTTCCTGCTGGTCCATTTCCTTCCCCATATTTGGCGTTGTTTCTCTGGGATTGGGCCAATCTAACAAGTGTGCAGTGGGCCTCGTTGACAGTTTGCATTTCTCTGGTGACGTGGGATGCAGAAACCTTCTTACGGTTTCCTTCGCCTCGTTATATGCTTTTGGTGAGGAGCTTGTCCAGACATCTGCTCGTCTTCCTAGGGTTGCTCATTGTCTCACTGTTGAGCTTTAAGAGGTCTTTGTATGTTGAGGGCGACAGTCCTGTATCAGCGATGACTTGCAGATATTTTTCTTCCAGTCTGTGTCTTCTCTTTTCATTCTCTTGACACTGTGTGTTGCAGAGTAGAAAACTCCTACTCATCCCTCAAAACCCAGAAAAAACATTCCTTTTTCCATGTTTCCCCACGATTTCCAGCAGATGTCTCCATCACATCCCTCCATCACAACAGCTATGGCTGCTGGATCGTGTGTGTGTGTGTGTGTGTGTGTGTGTGACATTTCTGTGTCCCCAGGACCTGAAGCAGTGCAGTTCACATAGTAGTGACCTCATATAGGCCTTATGCATGGAGTTCAACAGCGCAGCCCCTGTGTGTCCCCAAAATCCTTACATTGAAATCCTAACCCAGAAGTAACAGACATAGCACATGCAGAATTTGGGTTGTGATGAGGCTGTGATGGCAGAGTCCTCACAAATGGGAGGTCTGGAAGAGACCCCAGGGAGACTTTTTGAGTCTTCCACCACGTGACAATGTGGGAAGAGGTCCCTTTGTGGTCCAGGATGCCAGCCACTACCAGCGGCTCATCATGGACTTCTTTTCTCCCAGAAATATGAGAAACGCATTTTTGCTATTTTTAACCCACCTGTCTATGATGTTTTGCTATACCAGCTGGACTGAACTAAGACAGGGCCATGTCCCCCTGAGGTTAATGGCCAGTTAGTGACAGAACTGGGGACCCATCCCAAGCCCCTGAAGAGGGCAGTCATCGGAGGTCTCACTGGTGTCATACAGTCACAGTATCAGTAGCATTAGGAGAGGCATGGCCACCACTGAAAGATGGCCATGCAAGCCTAGAGGTGGCCATGCCTGTGGTCAGCAGCTGAGAGGACACAGGGTAAAGGACTCTTGCCACCATTGCTGTCTGCTGTGGATGCTGTAGACCAGAGATGGCACCTGGACAGGAACACACAGGAGTGGACGCACAGGGCCACATACAACTCATGTGCAAGTGTTGAACCATCTGTAACTCATTCTTTTCCAAGATCAGTGTCCACCCCCACCCCGATAACTGGTTAGCACACATGGACTGCCGAATCCCAGGTGAGCCCTGGTTTAAGTGTACCATGTCAAAAGGGCACAGGTGGACATCGGAGAACAGCGTGGGGCATCTGGTTGACCTCTCCTTGGAAGCTGGGGGTCAAAGAGCATTTCAATGAGAAGAGATGGGGAACAGAGCTGGCATCACCAGGTTCCAGGCACCAGAAGGAGACTTTGAAAAATGCAAGGCAATTCCTTACTGTGACTGGACTCACCCAAGAATCTGTCCAGAACTGGCCCTGGCTGATTGAAACACCAGAGGCAGGCAGAGGTGCAGGACCCAGGAAAGCATCCTCTGTGCCAAGTCAAGCAAAATCCACAGCTGACCTCGCCCTGGGCTCCTGAGCTCCTGGCCATCATGTTCTCCTTGTGGCTGTCCCTTAAGGGGTCAGAATTGGATTCCAGAGCTTAGGTGAGTTGTCTGAGGACCTAGAACAGGACTCGTAGCTCTGCAGCTTAGGAGCTCAAAACATCTTCTAGAGATTATGAGAAATATCCAACCACGGATCTAAGGAGCTTAGCAAATCCAACCCCCCAAAAAATAGAGGTGCAGAAGGTGCACACACACAGCTTTAGACCCAGCCTGACCAAACTACTAGAAGCCAAAGATGGAGAATAAGGCCATGAGGTTGTCAGAACCAGGCACAGCCATGATGAATCTATGGAAGTGTCCTAATGATGTGTTTGGTCCTTAAGGGAGCTGCCTGCAAACCTTAAGTCCCTTCCTGCTGCATCATATCCTGCATTTGAATCCGTTTTAGGAGATTTATTTGGAAGGCAGAGTGAGTCACACACACACACACACACACACACACAGAGAGAGAGAGAGAGAGAGAGAGATTTTTTCATCCCCTGGCTCACTCCCCAAATGGCTGTAATAGCTGGGGCTGGGCCAGGGCAAAGCCAGCAGTCTAGAACTCCATCTGGGTCTCCCATGTGTGTTGCCAGGCAACAAGCCCTTGTGCCACCCTCCTCGGCTTGCTAAGGTGCATTGGTAGGGAGCTGGAATGGAAGAGAAGCAATCTCTGATATGAGGTGCTGACATCACAGGCTGCAGTTTAGCCTGCTGCACCACAGCGGTGGCTGTCTATTGGAGTCCTGAAGTTGTAAGTCAGTGTGT